TCCCTCAATCTTTCAGTGCGCAGGATGATACTGCATATGATCAGCTGCTAAAATAATAGCTAATTCTGTTAATTTTGGGAGGGCAACAATAGTTTTGTAAAGACAGTGGCAGCCCTTACTATTGCTGATATTGGTTATTGATACTATGATTAGGAAGAAATGCAGGAGGCTTGGGGGAACCCCAGAGCACCTTGCAAGAAATAATGCAATCATACTCAGGTGAAACTTTTAATAGAAAACTTTTTTTTTTTCCTTTCTCTTCTAGAACTGATGTTTCATACTGAAATTGAGGAATTTCCCCAGGGAGATATACCCAGAGTCCAGCCATAGTCTTGTGTTTTACCACCATGTATTAGAACTTCCACAAATTAAAAAAATGTATTTTTATATTGTATATATTTGATTTTGATCTTTTTATGTATGCTGCAATTTGTGATTGAAAACCTACTTTGTAAAATAAAAAGCAAAACTATAAAAGCTGTCTCTAGTGCATAAATTCAAGGTGATTTTGTAAATGTTGCACCTGTGTAGCCAAAGAAACTAGATGGATGCAGAGGGTCAGATATTCAGTACTTTTTAGAGCACTGATGCTGATAGCAATTGGCTTACCTGGTTTGGCCAAATATTCCCTAGAGATTAAAACAAATCTTATGAAGTAGTCTAAAGAAGATTATAATGAAACAGTTAGGAAACATGAAATCCACAAAGTTAACAGCCATAAAATAATCTGGGTTTAGTTATCATAAAAAGTATTTGCTAGAATAAGGTACTGGATTTTGTCTATGTTTAGCCCGTATCCAGGGTTAAACTATAGCAGCTGTTATTGTTTTATGAGCCCTCCCCAGCATTGAAGGGCAATCTGCTTTGCTGCTTTTTCTAAAGAACCTTGGAATGATCCTACTTTTACCCATTTTGAGATTGATTTGCCCCAAAAGGGTATTTTTTTGGTTTTGTGTTAGGATGGAATGGGAAACTTCTGAAAATTACAAGATCTAAAGAATCTAAAGCAAGATGAAACCTGTGCAGCAACCCACCTTCTATGTAGTGATGCAGTAGCAATAGGGGCTGCTGGTGGGTTAAGATGATGACAGCCAACATTATTTATATTGAAGTGGAAAACAAAAGCATAGCATATATGCATAAACACAGAGGTACTGCACCATGAAATAATCTCCTTAGTAGGCACAGACAAGAGACAGTTTGAAATCGGTTTTTCAAGAAATTATCCCCTAACACCTCAAACCTATTTCTGTGTGTCATTTAATATGTATTGACCTTGCAGTTTTATGTCTGTGTCTAAGTGTGGTTGTAAACGGTGTGCAGTCATCAAAGGTCCCAGTAGATTTACTGTACTTTATAGTAGTGAAGTTAAGACTAAACGGTTAAAAGACTTAAAGGGAGATGTTAAAAAGATGCTAAGTTTTATGCTGTTATATGAGATGCTTTAAAACAAGGATGGGAATGTGAATAACTAGGGCTTCTGGGGATTCAGCATTTTTTTGGAACTTCATGAAATTTTTTTTCCAAGTAACATACATTTCTGTAATGAATTAATGGAGTAGAATTACTTGTTTCCTTTTGGGAATGATGGGAGATTTCCACAGGAACCTGTTTAAACCTGTATGCTGGATGTCCTGTTAACAAGGCAGAAAGTAACACCCATGCTGAGGGTGCAGTGTAGATATGTAAGATACATTTAAATTCTTTCCTTCATCCTGTCTCATGTTTCTGAAGTTTTCATTATGTTAAATAACAAATCTTACTCTGCTAGCTTGCTATTAGACCACCTATTTTTTTCAGTGCTTACTTTTTAAAATCCTTAAGTCTTTACTGGTTTATTATATCAAATAGCTTTGTTTTATGATATGGTTCTTACCCATAGTCTTTTAAGGCCTCTCTGGCTGGATGTGTTGTGTCATCTCTCTGAATTTCAGTCTTTTTCCTCATTTGTACACAACAAGGATGACCATCATTAGGACATGTCATTACAGCTAGCTCAGTTGTTTCAGAGGTTTATTAGACAACCTAATATACTTTAGCAAAGCTACTTTAGCATTAAAGACAGGATACGTAACTCACCTACTTAGGAATCTGCCTAGTGTCAGAGACCTTGAGAACAATGGTTTCCAAATGCTTTCCTATGATTTTACCAACTGCTTTCATAGCACTTGAGGAGAAGGAGGGGATGGGGAAAAGAGAGAGGTAAGGTAAAACTTGTTAATTTTTTTTATATTGACTTTTGTTTCTTAATAGCATCAAGTGAAAGAAACTTAATCTCTTCAATGGGTATTTCTCATATTGAGACTCTGAGTAATTCATATAGCAGATCAAGTTGATTATGAGTGAATCATGCTTTTTCCTATGTTCATCCATTCAGTCACTGACAAACTGCTATGGGATCAGACCAAGCAAGTAAGAAACTTAGCAGTATGGAGAACATCTTCAAGATAACATTAACTAACGTAAATTTTCTGTTGTTACAGGCATTTTGTTATTTTATGTAGTGTTAGATGGTATCACAAAGGGGGCAGCAAAGAAAATAAACGTGTTGTTTTCAAAAGTATTGCAGAAGTAACCAAGTTAAAACTGCTTCAGTGGTTATGAGATTTTTGAAAATGTGTAGCAGTTGTGTAAGTCCCTTTGAATATACCTCACAAGCTCAGGCTTATTTCATATGCTGATAAGACATATCACTGGTGTGAGTAAAAGAGTGATCTAAAAGATAAATAAATTATTGTGTTCAGAACTGTGTCAGCTTGGAATAGAAAGTCTCTGTAACTTGAATCTTAACAGATCATGAATCTCAGATTTTGAAAACTCTGTATGTGAAAACTTCAGATTTTCAGTAGGTGTTTCCAATAATTTGTTTTCAGTGACAAGTAGTTGAAAACTCTGTAACGATATGATGATTATAAATTTTTTAATGTTCACTGGTATTTCTTATATTGCATTATTTTTTAATAGAAAAGATCACAGTTAATGAGCCAAACTGCAGCAAACCTTTCAGCAAACATAATCCAGGGACTAGTTGCAAGTATTTCTGATTATTTTAGGAATTAGTAGAAGTCACAATGCCGCTTAGTTTATTTTGTTTGAAAATATTGTAGTTGTTGAACAGCAGTAAAAGGAAAGTCTTTTTAACTTTCTAACTTACAAAACAAAAATAGTTTACTAAAAAGCTGTGTCAGTACAGAAGTTGGGTGAATATTTAGAAGTAGTTTGATTTTTTTCCCCAGAAAGAGACAGCAGCACAGTAACACCACTGAAACACATTTTTTTAAAATCAATTCATACAAACTTTGCATTCAAGTTCATTTTTACAGACTGTGTGAAGTACACTTGTTTCAAGACAAGCTTCTAAATACTAGCAGGTAAGCTGTCTGAAATTTTCTGCAGTGGTTGTTAATTTTTTTTTAAAAAAAGTCGTAATGTTTATTCACAGGTCTGTAATTAAAATATGTACAATTTTGACTGGCTTTTTACATGTACTGATAGCCAAAATTGAGCTGTAGATGCTATATAATGGATTTGATTCAAAAAGTCTAAATTTGTGGTGGCTAAGAATTAAAACATGGGGTTCACATGAAAATAATATTTTTTCTAAGAGTACATTATTATTTTCATGATCAGAGGAGTTTTCCAGTTTAGACAACCATCTTCTTACATAATGATTAACACAAACCTGAAACTTCTTCCCTGCAGAAAGAAGCAGCAGGTAGTATGACTGGACTACAATGAGAAGTACAAGAATTAAATAAATGGAGACAGACAGGGTAAGCTTATTGAAAGGTTATTTTAATCCTAAATTCCATGTATTAGGTTTTGAAATATACAGCTCTCTTCACAGCATGAGTAGAATCAACTGTTTTATTAATAATGTGGTTGTTTAAGATTTCATGTCTGTCTCAGTCTTGTGTTTTGGTCATTTGGTCTTCAAGGCTTTGTAGTGAAGCCGCTGGCAAAACAGTACTACTTGCAAGCCTGGCTGCAGACCAGCACAACTATGGAAGACTTAATGTGGAATGTTTATGATGAAAATTTAAATTATGTCCATTTGATATCTATTTATACATTTTTACTACAGTCAGGACTCATATCAGTGAAGTACTAGTGGCTTTGGTGCATGACTTTTGCTGTAAGACAATGAGAATATGAAGCTTTTGAAAAAAGCTGTTGTTCAGCTTGAGTTGCCTGGTAAAGTACGAGAGATCAGAACTTACTGAATTGCAGGGAAAAGAAAGGCAGTTTTTCATCTGACTTTGGATAGATAAATTCACTAGAATCATAAGGGGTTTATTAGGATGTTATGGCTGAATCTATAGGAATTTAACTGTGGCTTGCAGAAGAGGTTTGTTTGCCAGCAGCAGTGCCAGTGAAGCTTAATACATGTTGCCTTTCCTTTATGAAAACAGTATTAGGTGCTGGTAAGTTCTGGTGGTGAACAGGAATACAGTATACGTGAAAGTATGTACAGTAACTTTAGATTATTTAGTATGATTCTTCCTAATAAACCTGAACCTGTTATAACTTGAGGCTTTGCATAGTACAAGGTTCTCAAATGACATAATAAATGAAGATACAAAAGCACAAATTTGTACTAAGAATGTAGAGAAATGCAAGAGTATGAGTCATATTTTAAGGTAGTTTAACTTCTTTGGGAAACACAGTATTAAAACTGCGTGAAAAAAATTATGCATAGCTAACCTTTGGCAAGTATGACAGTGCATCAAGTTAGAAAAATACCTTTTGGGCTGCATGAAAAGAGCTGCAGAAGCAACTTATTTGTGCCATTTCAAGTTCAGACTTGCAAATGGAGGATTTCTCCTTACTAAAATAATTTGGGTGATCATGAAAAACAGATTGTTTAATTAAGGTCACAGACAAAACCTAAGCCTCAATTCAGAAAGGCACATAGACTGCAGCAGCATGAGCTGAAAATATAGTCTAGGGTAGGATTACAGCAGGAACTTTAAGAAATACTTTGAAAGAGGAAGATGAGCATTCAGCTATTCTCTAGATTTCCTTACAGTCAGAAAGTAAGGCACACTGCACTTCATTATGCCAATCAAGGGCATAGTTAATGAAATATGGCCACTTCAATGGCATTTCAAGTATACCTTGCGTAATTGTATCGTAACCATATAACTAAAGCAGCAAAGTCAAATCACATTTTTCTTCTTTGAAACACGAGAGGTATGATTGTTTAGTATTTCTTTAGAATTCCCAGTCTGTATCATCTTGATTTGCAGTAACATGTCCAAATTCAGTCCCAACTGCTGTTGAGGGCAGTGCCAAAAACTCTGATCTGTTATTTTGAGTAGGAGGTGGTAATAGAGACAGTAGTGAATTCTGTGTTTGTTCTTTTATCTAGAAAGGAGAAAAGTTAAAACAGGGCTGCTCATAATACTCTACATAACCTTGTGTCTGACTTCATTAAAAGCATGTGAAATCAGCCATGTTCTTGCATGTTACAATATTTAAAGTAACAGAATAAGGGGTTTAGCTTTCCTCACTCTAAATTAAGTTAGTCTTTCAAGGCTAATTACATTAGCTATGCATTTCTGCTTTAAATTAATAATATTAATCATTATTCTTATTAGTTAGACTGACTTTATTTAAGTTAAACCAACTTTAACAAAGGGGAAACGTTCATCTTACGCTTCCTATACTCTATCAATACCATTTTGTTAAAAAAGTCTGAAGCAGATATGCTGTTGAAGAATGTTTTTTTGCTCTAGCTGATAATTATTTTGTGATCAATCTCCAATATTGTGTGGCTTACTTAGGTTATAGCTTTGTCATTTCACAAAATATAGTAAACTCACCTGTTTGAAGAACGTATGTGAAAGCAAACTGCTTGCTGATGGCCTGGATGGTAAAATGAACAATATAATTATGTATTGGAAAGTAAAATAGTGTTCTTGGAAAATGGACCAGACTGACAAATCAATTAAAGCTGTATGGGTTTGATGGTTTTTATCCACAGGAAAAATGTGAAGCATAAGAAAAGCAGCAAAGAAATTCCACGTTATGTGCCTCAATTTGTAGTGAAGGCACTACTAAAGAAACATTTTTAAAGGCTTTTCACTTTTCTGTTTAACAATACCTCATTCAGAAGAGGCACAGCACTGAAAACATAACTCAGATTTGTTTGTTTCAAAGTGCACATTTAAAAAATAGTTTTACTTGTTACAAAATATATTCATATTACAATAAATTCATGGGTCTCATGATTTAAAAAGCATTGTTCCTTTATGAGACAAGATAATTCTTAAATTACAAAACCAAAGCTAAGTTTTGTGTTTTGCACAGTACTTCTGATGTGAAACTCTGACTTTAACATTATTTAACCATTACTGTATCCTAAATTGTGGGGTATACTTGGTGTCTTAGATTGAAGTGACAGAAAATTAATTTTAACCAGGTTACCTTTTCTCAGGGTCCTGTTGCAAGCAGAGTTCTACCAAGTTGTGGAATGCAGGTGAGAATGTTTTGGAACATGGAATTTGTAGTCTTTCACTGGTCATTGTGTGTGTCATGCTTTCACCAATTCCAGAATCAACACCTGATCGGGAATTCTTCATCCTGGATTCCCCACAGGGAAAGCTATTTATATCCCAAGGACAATATGCAGGACCTTTCAGCTTTTGCAGCAGCATCTAATAGAGAGGAAGAGCAGTATTCAGTTCAACAGCTATCCAGATCTGTTCAGGCTAAGTTGTGAAACTCCAGGAATAGAACGATTATTTGTTCCAGAAAGAAGCATGTATATTTGAGATAACAAAAGTCAGCCACCAACAGCAATAGCACTGGTTGCTCTTGAATTAAAAAAAAAAAAAAAAAAAGCTCAGTGTTTTGAAGTAGAAAGAGTTGGGCATGATACCTGAGTGGGAGGCATATCTTGAAATGGAACATGTCCATTTGCTAATTCACATGCTGTAATTCCCACACTGTAAATGTCAGACTTCATGTTATACCCAGACAAATCCTGTGAGAGACAGAAAACTACTGGATCACTGATGCCATTAAGTAGTGACAACAAAAATACAAGTGTCTGTTTCAAGAAAAGATTCTAATACTCTGTAATCTACATGGCATTGAGGCAATTAAATTGTGAAACTTCTGGCTTTGTTCAGACATCTGATGGTTGTACTGAAGAGAAGTTTTAGGATCTGAGGTAGTTTCCAGGAAGGTCAGGTTAAAAGACTTAGTACAGCAACACCTTACCAAAAGCTTGAAAACTTGACCTCTTTAGTAGAATTAAAATTTCACTATATCTGTCTTTTTAGAAGTTGCAGTTCATCAGTTTCCATTGCACTTCTACAGGCAGATTCAGAAGCTGAGTACTTACAGTAACTTTGAATAGGCAAACTGAAGCGTAATATATACTAACCTGTCTCAGTAGTTCAGGACTCAGCCAAGGAAGGACAGATGTACTAAACTGTGGGAAATCATATACCACCTTTGACTTTTGTCCGTTGTTAACTAAACTGTAGAGGCTGTTTAAGCCTGAGAGAGAAACCAGCCCATCCCCTGAAATCAGAATGTGGCTAGCTTTAATACTCCTGTAACATAAAGTGGTAGAGTTTAGTTATAAGAATTACTCAAAGCACTGCTAGAGTAGAAAGGCTTTCATATTTCATTAACTTTTACTAAGATGTTAGCCTGCAGTTCTATTTAACAGATTATTTTCACAGAAGTTCTCCTCTCATTATGAGTCTTTTTAATACAGACTCAAGAGGAGAGGTTATCAGCAAGGAAAAACTGCCAGAAATTGAAAAGGTCCCAGCTTCCTTGGAAAGGGTGTAAAGTAAGGAGGCCCTTTCTACAATTCTGATTCTCTTCTGCTTCAAAGAAACAAAGCCAGGCAGATGTACAATCCCTGTAACAACAGGCTTTAAAAAAAACAAACAACGTATGAATACCATTCTTGTTAAGCTCCTACAAACTTGCTTCTGCTCTAGTTTTGGAAAAAAATCACTTCTGCACTATCTGACATAAAAAGGTATATAGAAAAGGAAAGAGCTGAAAATTAGTTTTGAAGTGAAACTAAATTCTTACTAAACTGGATGCTATAATCTGATTCTTACCTATTGACATTTTCCTACCTGTGAATGTAGCCATTCTGGTGCATGTAATTTAATCCTCTGATTGCACCAAACAGAATGTTCCGTATCAAAGCTTCACTCATGCCTTCAGGAAAGTAAGTCTTCAGCAGATGTCTAGCTGAACCTGGAAGTAAAAAAAACAAAACCTAGCTAAGCCTAACAGGTTTTGTTAAATTATTTTGCTGTGCTTGCTTCATTGTATATATTCATCAGGAGCAGCATTCTCATCCTTCTGTTGACTATGGTACCTCAGGAACAGTTACATGGATGCAACTGATGCATCCATCGGGCTAAGATCACACTCAAGTCATGCTTATGTTAACTGAAAGGCTATGCCAAACCTGTTTTCAATCTAGACAGGTTTTCTGTTGGCAAAGCTGTATAAAGACAAATACATCTCCCAGTTACCATTCCTCACTTGGTGGGTGTTAGGACTAAGTGCAATATTATTGCAGTTCAAATACCAGTCTTTACTGGGGAGGAAGCTTATGTACAAAAGACTTCTGTAAACAAATGGTTTGGGAAAGTCAGGTTTCTTTACAAGACAGGGGATGTTAAAAAAAACCACAACAAACACTTATGGATCATGTGGTCCAAATTGTTTCAGCCCTTTTTCATTATTTCAAAATTGCAGTTAACAGTTCTTACCATAGGCCATGAAAGGGGAGATGACCCAAAGCCAACTACCAGCTGTAAACACTGTCCAAAATGTCATTACATTGGGATGCTGGAAAAAGTGGGATAAAACCACCTCATTCTGTGAAATTAAATGAAAGGAGATGTGATAACCACAAGACAACAGTCTTACTAAGAGCATTACTGTATCAGTAATCAGTAGAAATAACCGTTTTTCATAAGTGCATTGGTAAGAGTTGCAGATGATGTGCACAGCCTGCAATAAAAATGTAAATAACTTGTCTATAATTGCATTTGTCTGAAGTAAATCTAGTTTGCTCATAGCCTGAAATTTTGGTGTTAAAACAGAGTACAGAACATGTTTCAAAGAAAAAGCTGTGCACTAACAGAAACACTTAACTAAAACACTTAACTGTTTTTCTTCAGAAAGGCACATGTCTTGTGTTTATATTTACTCCTTTGGAGGAAAAACTCGACTGAAATGACCCAGTACAAACACAAAGGCTACCTTTCTTTAGTAACCTTGTATTCATCACTGTCTTCATAAGACTTGTGCAGAAATGTTGTTGCTTTACCTGTAAGGCTTTCAAATGCTCTTCAGAGCAATTTTCTAGGTCTGTGATCCTTACAGCAACTCGCATGCCTGTAGGCGTGTGCCGTGCAAGGTAGACTGAAGTTAAGTTGTTGAACCTCCTTCCTGAAACAAGAAGTGGCTACCTTAACGTTGGAAATTATAATAATCCACCACATATTTTCCTTCATATTTAGAAATAATTTTACAGTTCTAAAATTGCTATGGATAGCAGCGTAATATTTTATTTAAGAACTGAAGTAGTTGCAACAAAGTATATCCAGTTAAGTAGTTAAGCATGACTCCCGTATTGTTAGAACAACTTCAAGTCTTTCAACACTTGTCAGCATTAATTATATATCTAAATGAACAACACTTTTAGCATGCATATTCACATATATGCACACACAGCAGGATTCAGGGCAACCATCATTAGAAAAATCAACTCAGGTAGTGTGTTCATTGTCCACAAGTGAAACGTGAGAAATGTTTTGCACTTTTCCCAAGTAAGGAGACACAAGAGTAGTTCTGGGGAGCTGATTAAACATTTTCCAAACTTAGTATTTACTGCAGTTAGCAATAACACATTGAGAGTATGCATGTGTAGGAACAATAAATATTTTAATGTACACTTATGTTACCTATTTCCAGCTGGAGTTCATAGTGAGAGACATTAGGAGAGCAAAATACCGTATCATTCCTTCCTGTAGATGGGGAGATCCAGGCTAGATCAGAATCAGCCTAACAGTGAGGAAAAACAATTCTCAAAATTACTGTAATTTAAAAACATTTAGATGTTTAAAATTAATGCCAAAAGATCATTAATCAAAATGTTCATATCAAGTTCTCAAGTCAGAACATTCAAGCTGGTGCTTTTACCTTCACACTGAGAGTAAGTTTTATGAGCTACCCATTTGTGTGTGTTTGTTTTGTTTTTAAACTGGTACAAGATTAAGAGTAACACTTGGTCAGCTATAGTCATCTTCAAAAGTGGAAGCCCCAAAGTATAGTGGTTATTTCTGCTGTTAACATTTTGAGAAGTACCCCCTAGTGCCAGTTACTGTTTCTTTTTTCTTACCAGGCATTCACTGATGCTGCTCTGAGATAGCTCTTCTGGTCTGAGTGCTTCAACTGGCGTACGCAGAATACAGGAACAGTCCTTGAGAACACAAACAAGTGGATGTTAGTGGAGTTGCTGCAATGATTAAACGTGGCAGCAGGAAAACATCAAAAGAAGCCCCTAAGCATAAATTCAGAAAGTTTTCAGATACAAGTCAGTCAAGCAAGAGGTTAAGAAACAGCACAGAATACATACATAACAGACCTAGAGAGAAGAGATACTGAACAGCCTCCTTCACTGAAAATTGATACAGCAAGTTTAAATATCTTGCCATTGTGGAAATCCTCTCAAGTAAGGCATTTCATCAGAACTTTCTCACATTAAGGTATGACTGGGTAACAAGGTACAACTGGCAAAGATTTCAAATGCAAACTTACCAAACAAGACATGGAACCACTTTAGATCAGAGGAAAAGTCACGTACATCCATTTATTCTAGAAGAATTAAAGTAGCAATGTAAGGTTTTACATAAATCTGTGATAAATTTAGGCGTCTTTAATCATAACTGTGAGGCATTCCTCTCAGTTAACATACAGAAAAATCACTAAAAACTACAGCTCTGGGAAGTCCTGCTTCTGTTGAGCCTTTAAGCAGCATATTTATTTCAAACTACATTCCAACTCAAGTTTTCCTTTTTGATTAATGAGTTTAGAGATCTTATTACCACTTTTGAACAAACAATTTAATTGCAAATTAACTGCATAAGTGAAGAAAGTAAAAAGGAAAAGATTTTTGAATCTCTGGCAACCTGTAGGAAAATAAATAGTTGTCTCTTGTTTGAAAGGAGCACAGCTGTGCTAGTCAGATCTTGCTCAGCTGTGTGCAGCTAAACTAGCTCACACAAAAAGAAGTAGTTGCACTTTACGTTTCACAAGCAAGAGAGGAAATACTACTGAAAGGGATTGGAGTACAAAAAAAAAGAGGAGTTAAAAAAAACAACATCATTTTCACTTTACTTAGGCTACAGAATCAGCATTCCACCTCCCTCACAGATGAGTAGCCACTCGAAATGTCTTCCACCAGACTTGCTTTATGTCTGATGCTTTGAAGGCCTAGGAGAGGTCACTATGGCTAATAAGCATATTAAAGCTTCTGAAGTGTAATTATTGCTTAAAAGTTAACTTTACAAAGGTGAAGTACTGTATCAGAAACTGATGATTTGTTTATCAAGGAGCTAAGCTTGATTATATACTGCATTTAAATTATATATGGTGTTTAATCAAGGCAAGGCTCTTGGAAAGCTAATAAGCTCCCGCCACCCTATCCACTGCTAAATATCCAAACCTCTCCAAATCCTTAGTATTTTTAGCCTGAAAATCTGCTTTAGGTAAAGAAATACTGTGATTCCTTATAAAAGATGACAAACAGAGACAAAAGGAGACATCCTTAGAGGATCAGGGCTTGACTTTCCCAACTTGACTGCGCAAGTCTGTGGCAGAGCAGGAAAAACAGATGGAGGTGCTTCAAGATACTGGCCTGCAGCACTGTACTGACTACAGCATCCTCTACCTAGAAAGAACACACCTCATACAAGATTATTCTCTTGCATGGAATATGAAACCACAAAAGCTAAGCTGAAGAACCACGTTTTAAAAACTACAGTGCACTAAAGTAAAATAATTGTAGAATTTGTTCAAAGGGGCACAGCCAGCCAACTGAAATATCCACAATCCACATTCGTTCAAATGCTATTACAAATTTAAGGGTTGTTTTGTTTTGTTTTAAATGCAGTTTAACGCTCCTTCCGTGTTAAAAACGGGTTTGGATTCTGTCCCTACATATTTTTTTTCCTCCTTTCACATTCTTCTTCCTGCATCACAGGCTTTCTCGGTGCTGCGGACAGGAACGGCGGTGCACAGCTCCACTGACACCCAGCCTGCCCAAAGCTTCGGCTGCAGCGAGCGATGCGGGGGAGAAAGAACCACGGGAAAACGTGCCTGCGAGCCGGGGGAGCGCGGCGGCTCCGGGACCCGCAACCAGGCCCCGCAAACCCAGGTTACTCCGGTTGTGCCGACGCGGGGCTGCAGCGAGGGAGGCACCTCTCGAGCGCCGCGAACCTCAGGCGAGGTGCGATCAGTTACAGGATCCGCCCGTGACAAAAGTAACGGAGGGTGAGAAAACAACGCCCCGCGGGCTCCCAGGCGAGCTCCCCGCTTGCCCCGTTACCCTCGTACCTTCCCTCGGCGCCTCCGTCCCCTCCGCGGCAGGCGGCGGTTTAACGGCGTCGCCGCTTCCCTCCGCCCCCCCGGCGGCCGGGACG